AAACAAATTCAACTTTAACATACATAAAGTTTTTTATGTATAGTGGGTGAACGATACAAAAACGCAATCCAACAATACGTTTACCGCAAATTGAATGAGGCTCGAAATAAATCCTGCGGTCGTTGTCTGACTCTCAATACCAGTACCTCCCGTTCGTATCTCTCACCCTTGTTTGTCGTTGTTGGGGTTTCACCCGACGAATAAAAATATCCATACACTCGTTTTGTTTTCCAGATATTGTTTTATTTTTTATTCAGTAACCGATCTTTTATGTGTATATGGGAACTGTTTTTATTCACCAGTTTTTTTTTTTTAAATGTCCTTAATTCGAGGGTCGAAGAAAAACAGCTTGATCGTTATCGAGGGCCCATTTCTCTCCCTCTCTTAAGACCCGGCCAAATAGGGGTCCCTGAGGTTCAAGCGTCGTAAACCAAGCACTCTAGTGTATCGTAAGTGTTAATTACTTTTGTCAGTCCGCAACTAGGTGGTTAACAAATCCCGTCTTTATATAATTCCTCTGCTGAGAACTGTAATTTACATCGACTGACGCAACAATGTTTGGATAATAAATTATTATGCCTTGAAGCGTTCTTAACGGGCGGCTAAATCGATAAGCGTCGTTTTTATTGCACCATTAACAAGCAGTGCGAGGGGCGAACTGATTTCAATCTGCGTAATCAATGCTGTATCACACTTAACAGAAATTAATTGGTACTAGTATTCGTAACTGATGATGTGTTCTTATAAAAAGCTGTCTTGTATTATTTTTGACGAGTACTTTACACGTGGCTTTGACTTCTGTACCTACAATAAAAGCTGAGAGTGTAAGACATAAACTTTAAAAATAAGTCAAATAATTTTGCAAATGTTAGCTGACAAAAGCGTGAAATAATACCAGGCGTAGAATTACTGTTTTGCTTTTAAACAAACACACACTCGCAAGTTTTAATAACCATGGCATATTGCTGGCAGTCTAATCCCCATGGGGAGCGAAACACCCCTTGTTGCTAATTCACTGAAGCTTTCAATCAAACACAAAACCCAAATTCTTTATAAAAACACCGCTAAACGTTCAAAAATGGCAACCAGTCTGTAAGGCAATTACGTAAAATCTGGTTTTGGTTTTAAAGTAATATTGGATTCAAATAGTGAAATGTATATTTTGTTACGTTTTAAAAATCTTTACTCGTTTTTATTGCTGCCCAAAGTGGGAAAACGAGAGGAAAAAATAAACAGCACGGCTGTCGCTCGCGAGCGAATTTCCGGCTCACTGCCGTTCGGGACGTTTCAATTTTACAAAATATAAACTTTTGCCCTCTGGCTCGTAACAATCGGTTCACTCCAATTTATCATGTGAAATTGAATGTAATCTAAGTTTTGTTATGATCGCATGAATTCTAGTTTTGTACTCTAACAATGAAATACTTTCTCTACAGTTCATGTTTGTTATATAATTTTGATGATAATAACTTCGTATTGTTGATGTTATTCACGTACTTACCAACGTACCAATTTATTGTAATTTATAAAATAAAATTCGAATTTGCAAGTATAATGTACAAATTCGAGTATCTTTGTAAATAATACCTAAAGAAAAGGCAAAACATTTTACTTAAAAAGTACTCCCTCCTTCATAAATAACAAATTAGAAATCTCGAAGCCTGTACAAGGTAACAATTTTAAGACGCTATGTATAAATAAATTTTCTTTTAGGTTTCGTTGCTACCTCGAAGTTTATTTAACACAAAACAACGCTGAATAATGGAACAAATTATCAATTTAGTTAATTAGAAAACATCAGTTCTGTTTAACAATTAATTATATCAAAAGTAAATCAGTTTTCCAGACGTCTGCACAATAACCATCTCTTGTTTATTATATCTTTCATCTCAGTATTTTTGTCACTATTTATACAAAGAGATTCGTTCATATCATTTTAATTTCCCCTCGGTATTATACGTTAATATTTTACGTGAGATCACAATTCCCCGCAATAATAATCTGTTCCTCTCGTTGGGGAAACTCTTACAAATGTTTTCTTTTTTATATTTATAGATTATTCTTCGGAGACTGTTACTGTAGACAAGTCGAGATTTATCTCCGTTATCCCTGCCGCTTTACTGTTTCGTTGTTTCCTTCTAAATTAAGAGGTCTTTTATTCGTTTTTTGCTGAATAAATGATTTCAAATTAATTTCAGAGGGGAGGTGAACCTTTTAGTACTATATTTAAGCATTATATTTGCTTTTATATAAAAGAAACGTCTCAGTACAAATATGTGTTGTATAATAAGAGCCCCGAGGGCGCGATGGTCTGTTGTTCATCTAAAACAGAAACAACCTTTGTGAATCTTTAACGTGTTTTGTTTTGGCAAATAAATTAAATTACTGTAGTCAATAAATTCCAGTACTCTCTAGAGGCTGCATTAACTACAAGTAATAAAAACGACAAGGTCTACACCGACGTGGTAACATGAAATATAAATTTATCAATATACAGTCAGTTGAGTTGATTATGGGTACCCTACAACGACTGCATTAATCGCAGTCGTAAAGCAATAAGTTATAAAACGAATATAAATAAATCGGTTTACGGCCGTTTTACTGCTTTTCGCGAATGTGTTATTGCTAGGAACGGACGCTATGCGTTTCAGCATACCTACCGACGTGATAAAACTGTTCATGTTTTTTATACGTATTGGTATTAGTAAAATACATATTATTTCAAAGAAACTATGAATCTTACATTTCAGAATATTTCGTTTGTCAGTGAAACTGAACTGTCAGTGTAAAGTTTTATTACATTTATCGACGCTGAAGTCCATAAGCCGAGCGACTAAGTTATCAAAGCGAGCTTAACCCCTGTGAACTGGGCTCGCTGCCATTGCAGCGGTAAGTCCCCTCTTTGAGGAGTGGCTTGAGAGACGCTACGGCGTCCTCACCTACCGCCTGACGCAGGTCCTCACCGGACATGGAAGTTTCGGGAGGTACCTGTGTCTGATGGGGCGGGAGGAAACGCCCGGGTGTCATCACTGCGAGGGCCGCCCTGAGGACACGGTGGAACACACCGTAGCGGAATGCCCTGCGTGGGCTGAGCACCGCCGTGCCCTCAGGGAAGTGATCGGCGATGGCGACCTCTCGCGTCCGGGCCTAGTGCAGGCCATGATGCGGAGCGAGGGGGACTGGGATGCCGTCTCCTCCTTTTGCGAAGCAGTCATGCTAGCTAAGGAGGAGGCGGGACGCGTGAGGCAGCGAAGCGCTGCCTCCTCGCGACCCAGCCATCGCGAAGGACACACCGGGCGTCGGGGATCGCGGGACGATCTCCGGCCACCGTAAGCGCGGGCCTGCGGACGGCGAGCATGGGTGGCTCCCCGTCCGACCAGAAACAGACCCGAGCGTACGGCGCGTCGCGTTCCGCGCGCGCCTCAAAGAGCCATCAGACCACCACAGATGGGGCCCAATAGGGCCGATGCCGATTCGGAGTCGCGGAGAACCTAACGGGTAACCGGGGCTCCGGCTCGACGTGCAGGAGAAGGAACGGGGTGGTTTTTAGTCAGTAAGAGTCTGACACTCCCTTCCGCCTCACCCAGGCGGGAGCAGTCATTCGATGATTTTCCCCCCTTAAAAAAAAAAAAAAAAAAAACCCCTGTGAACGCCACAAAGGCGCAAAATGAAAAGATGACCTGAATGCCTGCTTCACGCAGTGAAATGTTTAATCAGAAAAACATTGTGCACCTGTAAAATAGATACATTTTCTTCATAAATGAGAAGTCTACGACAATGTTTATGTTGTTGAAGGAATGTAAGATGAATTAAAGTTTTACACATTAATGATTGAGAATGGCTTTCTGATGCACAAAGAAAATATTTGAAAAATAAACAAGAGAATAAAACAAGAACCAAAAATGCCCTTGTAAACTGAGATAATAACACAAAGACGCATTCCAGTAACAGTTCTATGATATTCAATCGAAAGTATTTCATATACTAGAAGAATATACTAGTTTCAAGCGTATCTAAAAGAAAATACAACAGACTTCGATGCATTTTGGCATCCGTACCAACGGCACTGACAATCTGTCGGACAAATGCCACAGATATTTCTGTTGAAAAACGATTTTCAGCTTTTCCAACAGACAGTTTGACTCTTAACAAAATATAAAACACCAATGTTTTGGAACATGCTAAAACTCACAAAATAAAAGGTTATGTTCAACATGATGACTTTGATTCATAGCGATAAAAATAGGTCATAGATCTTTTTAAGGTACACTCGACACTTTAATCCAGTTTTCAAATGTTTGATAAATTGGGTTTTTAATCAATTAAAATCATTATTATGTCGAAGACCTGGATCTCTTTGTCTTCATTTAGATCAGTAAAAGTAACATAATATTTTTTCGAGCTAAAAAAACAATACATAAAAAATTTAGTTTAGTTCTGAAATCAATTATGTAGTTATGTTTCTTTTGACACATTTTCTCCCACGTATGTTGGTATACGACGGCATTTTACATATGTACGAAGAAATATTGTACGAGACGGTATGTTGGGCGGGCGGCGGGCGGCGCTTGCGCGAGGCGCGGGGCGCGGGTTACAGCGGCCGACGACCGGCTGCGGGCCGCGCCGCACTCTCGCCCCGCACGCCGGGCGAACTGTTCGTCGTCTGTCGATCATCTCCTTCTTTGTCTTGCGTACGATCGCGATCTATCGTTATTTTTGTTCTGCCGAACTCACATCTAGGCCTCTCTTGGATACCAACCGTTCTTTGGATTACAGTGCTAACGGATTGCAGTGACAATAGTGGATATCATTGTTTGTTTATAATCTTGTTTACATGACAAGTGCAATAACAAAGTTTGATCGTTTAAAAACAAGGTGTTTATAAGATATAAAAGTGAACTTTTATAACAGTGAAAAGTGATTAATGATTAGGCATGAATGTTTACGTTAAATGGTTCTTGTGTCAATAAATCTGCGAAAGTTTCGGATTTCACCAAAAGTCTACCGCAGCCACCATAGTGAGGATCAAAGATTCTCCTAAGAACAATGCAGAAGGCAGCAGCAAAAAGGAAAGCAAGAAAAAAAATAATAAACAAAAGATTGAAGGTAACGGGTCGGTGACAGGCAACAAGAGTGAGAAGTCAGCCACTGCTGCTGTGAAGACGGACAAGGAAGGCAAAAGACCGTCGCCGACCAAAGATGTGCCAGAGAAACAGGTAAACATGTATGACACGGTGTCTGCAGATAAGAGGGAAATTAAGCAAAAACGGAGAATACCTATGTATAATAAAATGTGTAAACAACTCTCTGCTTATTAATAAACATTTATTCATTTGATTCTGTTAGAAATTGAAGCTGTCTCGTAAATCAAATAACCATTTGGAATTACTACAGATAAATATATTTTAGATTCGTATTTCTAGTAAACAACATGCATATTTTATCGGCGTCAGCTTACGTGACCGGAATCGTTAACATTTACCCCACTTTGGTGAGATTAACTTGAACAATGGAAACAACCTGCTATAGAATTCATATTTAATTTACACATATTCGCATTGAAAAACTAATGGAATGGTTATTGCGCTTAGTCACGAACTACCGAATAACTAACTTGACATGAATTGCTTTTAATCTAGTTGGTAAGCCAAGAATACGTGCAATTCCGGTCAAATGTTTATGGTACAATGAACGACGTAATTGTAGCTACCACTTGCCAATCAGCTGACTATATCTACTTACTACCGTAGTTTATACCACAGATGGGGCCCAATAGGGCCGATGCCGATTCGGAGTCGCGGAGAACCTAACGGGTAACCGGGGCTCCGGCTCGACGTGCAGGAGAAGGAACGGGGTGGTTTTTAGTCAGTAAGAGTCTGACACTCCCTTCCGCCTCACCCAGGCGGGAGCAGTCATTCGATGATTTTCCCCCCTTAAAAAAAAAAAAAAAACCGTAGTTTATAAGGCCACCCAACCAGGTTATTTACAGCTTTTATTACGACAATAGCTTTTATGATCGCTTGTTTCTTTTCCTCGAGATAGCTGTACATTATAGTTATAAGCTACCTGTATAAAAAACCACTTTAACTCGAGTGTTGAAAATAAAAACCTTAGTAACAACCTCAATATGTAATAGAATAATTAACTTACTTTCTAATCCTAACAATCTTCAAATTAATTATTACGAAAACATTTGAAAGTAACTTGAATGTTTAATTATTCTTTAACAATACCTACTTTAAGCATTTAACAACAATGATCGCGTCGTTAATTCACAAAATTACAGCCAATTACATGACTGTAAACACAAACAGACTTACACTGATTATAATTACAAAATAATCTTTGTTAACAAGTAGACATCCATTAATATCTAGCCGCAGCCCACAGATAATACAAAACAATTTTGCAAAGATATTGCTTCCCATTTTTTTATTGAATTAGTCTCATAAATAAGTTTGCCAGTTTTATTCACAAAAATAATATCAACAAATCTTTTCTCCCGCTCTTAGATCAAGACGTAAAGTCGTATCTGAAATCGCGGCAATAAATATCTATCTTTTTATTATGCATTAAATGTCACTGAGAACAAAAATTGGTATGCAGCATTAAATCAGGTCATGAACAAACTGCTCTTAGCTAAAATGCGCGGTGAATACTTAGCGACTCTACGCTTTCGACTTTTTTATGTGTGACATTGTAATTTATTACTCCTTATTATGTTAATCCAGCCAACTTCTGGTTTTTATAAATTAATTTTATTACTCAAATACAAGCGACAAACAAATCAATAATGAATAAAAACAACTTATGAGTTTGTTTTTACGAAGCCAGTTAAACTAGCCTGTATATTAATTACACGCTCATGTAATTGATTTCCAATCATTACAGGAAATATTCGATTATTTCTTACTGGCTGTATCATGCATATTAAAGAGTCACAATTACAAATTCGGATCATTTACTAATTGGACAACCAGACAGGTGCGTAAAAAATGATGAATAGTTCTCAATTCACAAGAGCAAAGTCGTCAAAATTTGTATTGTATACAAAATAAACTAGCAACAACATGAATGTACATAATTTGTGTTCGAGTGGTATTTAATTTAGAAAAGTATATATTATCTACAAAAATTGCCATCAAAGCATCTAGAGGGGCGTATCGGATCGGTATGACTGAACTTGCTTAGAGAGATGAAATTCTTCTTGAATTTTAAGTCCCATCCTATTAAAAGTTTGTGAAAGTATTAGAATTTGGAATGAGGGGCGAAAAGCTATCACGCCATTTTTTCCGAGTCTCCCCGTTTCCAACATCGGGAGAGGAGGAGGCGGGCAAAACGGCCCCAAGGCTGGGATCGCCAGATTATGCTTCGCTGTTTTGAATTCAGAATACGAATTAATTAATTCAGAATCGTAAAGTTCATTCATATTAAAAGTTATTAACTTTTTGTAAACGCTTGTGTGGGTGTGCAACGTTCCAAACGTTAGCTTATTTTAATTTTATTACCTCGAGTTAATTGCTTTAACGACTCTACTAATGGAATTTGATAAGGAAAAAAAAACTAATTTTGAAACATAATTCAGCAACGCAAAGAAATAACTTCAAATTTTAGCTGGTGTAAATATTCTTAGTTTTATTTTGACAACGTTGACTAATGCGGTCGTTTATTTTTATGGCTGATTTATTTAGAGTCGCGTGTATTTCTCTTCGGAGGTGGGCTCAACGGAACTATTATTACTTGCCGACACGACATCAGTCATCGCACTAATCGTGCTGAATTATTATTATCTTTTAGGTAACATAATTTTGACAGTCAGCCAACGTTTGTCACAGTTGATGGACAGCCCCTAATTTCCAACAGACACTTCGTTAAAGGACTTAATTGTTAATCAAAGTCCTCTATTAATAGACCTCGAAGTTGCTTTACATCCAGTGAACTGTATAATTTGATATTGAACATTAATATTCTGTTTAAGTAAGTTTAAGGTGACAGAAAATGGTTTAAATGTTTTAATAAGATGGCGGTGCTTTTGAATGTCTTTATTGTATTGAGAGCCGGACGCAAAGCCAGCGTCGCGCTGGTCTGGGTGCCGACACTGCCGACACTCGCCGCCCGCCTGGCACGCGCGGCCCATACTTGATTTATCACTCCATTGTTGCGGAGCGACGACCCACCCCCACCGGATAAGGCTAAACATTCAATTGCCGGAACGCACCCGAAACGATTTGTTCCCCCCATACTACCTATCGATTGACTATTTCTTCCGGCTCTGCCAGTATTTAAACGGCTTTCGAAGTACGCAAGAAGATCTCTATGAATTTATTGGCTGCTGCGCCGAAGGTCAAAATCCTGATTATTTAAATCTTATACAAATGACTTTTCAGTTGTAAATTATAGTCTTTCCGAGCAGCTAATATTTCATAATACAGGTAATTTGTTCCATCAAAATGTCTCTTTTTAGTAGAAGCACTTTGAGTAAGTACTAAACGCGGTATCCGCCATTAAAAGAGAAAAATGTTTTGCTATCAACATAAAATAAAACCAAAGCGCATAATAGAAAATTAAATCAACTGCGGCAAATCAGATTTAAGAGACAATGCTACTTAAATTGTGTCCATCGTAAAAGGCGCGGTTAGCCAGCTAGTTTTATTGAGTCGTTCTCGGCGCTAGCTCGTAAATATCACTGGGTAATTACTTTCCATTCCCTTTAAATACTTGAAACCCGCGCCATAAAATAAATAAACTTTTATTGTTTCAGAAATTGTTAACGTTTATTATGTTTTTGTTAAAACTATTATTTTTGTAATTGAGTGGAACATTCGATGTGTCACACTGATCTTTTTTAAAGCTTGAAATATGTTCTTAGCTTTTGTCCCAGGGTTGTTCTTATTTTTGTTAAAAAAAAATAGTATTCGCTTGATATCATCACTGTAGATTCGTAAAGCGAATAAAATGCTCATTTTCCAAGTAGGGACGAGTAATCCGATTACAACAACTTAAAAAGGATTTCCCGGTGAAAAATAATGAAACAATTTTCATCGATAAATCTGAGTATTTTACTTCGAACGAAACACTTTAAAACAGACAAATATGGAAGAATTTAATTATATTTTTCTTTGTTCTGAGAACAAAAAGGTCAAGCAGGATAGATATTTAAGGCACTGTTCGATAACGTTTTATTTTTCCAACGATTAATTTATCGCCAGTCCCATATTTTCATAGCCAAAAAGGAATGTTTTGTACTAACTTGAATTTTATGTATCCAAGTTATGGTAATGTCAAGTAACAAGCACCCATCACGTAGGTACTTTATAATGTAAGCGATCGTTTTACTTATAATTCTCATTAGCATGTCTTTGTGTCAAGACGTGATTTCATCTTCATCTAATGAATACAAAAAACCCGAAGGCGGTTATTGTGTTAGGTTTGAACAATAGACACACATATTGTGAATACTAATCGTGTCGGTACATAAAGACACGGACCAACGGGGTCGCATTGCTTCGTCTCGTCTCCGCTCCATACGTGCTTGCTAGAGAGAATTACAGACATATTTGAATCTACATTATAGTTTATACGTAGGTATTCCATCTTTAGAATTAAGGAAATTCCATCAAAGCGCATTTACTATTGATTACCAATAAATGACCAACAATTTATTATAATAGATTTTGATTAATTTACTTTTAAACATGATTTATACACTATTGTATTAATCCTAGCTTACGAAATATGCAATAAGTCATACCAATTAAATTATCTAGTACTGGAATAGACCTTTGTCTTACACAATATCACAATGGCTAGCAAGCCTCAATTATCTATAAGGTTTTCTACCAAGTTCGCAACTTTTTATCAAAAAATCATTTTCACTGTTTCACATCAATAGCTTCTAATTTCATGTAAATAAACCGAAATGTGTGAACTTTGTCTAACAATTGACGTCAATTTGTCTAAAAATGTTTCCTTTCAAGTTGGAAACGTATGGTGACATAAATAGCGTTAAAATGTGCAGCTATTCAAAGCGTCAAACGATGTCCTGGTGCGGGTTGACGGCTTAGTGCTAACATTGTAACGGTTCGCTGTCGACAGTGGCCACTTCTCATTATTTATTAACGACGTGAACCGTACACACGACCACCGCCGCATGCAATCCCTTTGACGAGATACTTAATAAGTATTTGCGGACACTTTTATTACTTTACCTGAGCTTCTATAATCACTTGTCATTTATGAAGGTAATTGGAGACAATTACAAAGGTACTATTCCCCTCTATGCTGTATTGTACGGTGCTGATCAAGGCAATTATCGTTTATGCTATTAGTTATGGAGATTGGTCAAATCATTGGCATTTGCTACTTGTTTATTAGTTCTTGATCAAGGAACTGTAATTATAAGTTGTCTATAAAACCAACATTAGTGGTTGACAATATTTTTTATTTATTTAAAAAAACACTAAGGTCAGTTTTAACTCTTTAAACTTACCACTGCAATCGAGGAAAATAAAAATTCATGAATATATTGATTAAAATTGTAAAAACTTAAAATGGAAAGAAATATAAATTAATTACCATATTATAATGTCAATATTCTCAATGTATTGTTGATACAAAGGTCATGGCTTAAACAAATTGTTTTCCAAAACTAACAATAAATTAATTTTGTTCCAGGCAAGTCCCGAAAATAGCAGAAATGCTTCTCCAAGGTACCACGATGCATCAATGGAAGATGTGAGTGTTTCAACAACCTGTATTACTAATTTACATATCGTTAAGTTATTAAAGGAATGTAGCACATTAATAATTGTTAATTTGTTTGTTTTTCAGGCGTCGGATGCAGGCTCTCTTTTCCGGGTGGCAGGTGCGGCAGCTACGGGTGCAAGTGCCAAAAACGAACTTGTTGCTCGAGGCGGCAGCGGGGGCGCGCTCGCACTGTCGCGCGCGCCCGTCGGGGGCAGCGCCAGCCCCGCGCCGGCGCCGCTGCCACAGCCCGCGCCCTCGCCCGCGCCGGCAGCTCTACCGCCGCCTGCTCTCCCTCCGCCACCTTTCTGCGACACACCGCACAGGCCCAACGGCGCGCACATACCGGCACTCGACGGTCACGCTGCAACACAAATCCCAGCGCGACCGGTCGGCGCAGCTGGACCCGACACGCCCGAGCGACCCGCCAGCAACAGCAAGTTGCAGCCGGGCGCGAGAGCCTCTGCAGACAGTCCGACCCCCGCCCCTCCCGCACCTCCCGCCCCCTCTCCCTTATTCCCTTCACATACCGCCTATCAATCTCAGTCTCAATCACACGCTGCCGCCGCGTTGCCTGACTACCGGCACACGAACCATGAGACGCGAACCGAGCCGGCCGAGCAGCCCCCGGCGCCGCTGGACCTGCACACACACCACACAGCGCACCACCCGGCCCGGCCGCCGCACCTGGCGCCCAGCCCCGCGCAAGCGTCCCATCCTAGTCTCCAGAGCCGCGTACCCCACTCGCAGGCGCATCCAGTGATGCCCGGCCATGACGTCAGAAATCAACCGGTCGTAGCTCAGACTCATCCCTCCGTTCCTACCTCGTTTTCGAACCGCGTCAATGGTGTGCCGCCAAGCGTAACACCACATTCGACGCCGTCTTCAATTCCGAGCTGTCTTCCGAGTCAAACTCTCACGGGACGGTCGCTCTCTCCGGCCGCGCCGACCTCTCGCCCCTACTCTACCCCGTCGATCGGGTCTAGTCATGTAAACTCCAGTATAAGTTCCAGTATTCACTCAATAGCTTACCAGAGTCAGTCGAGTTTACAGAAACATTCCGTTCAGCCTGTGTATGCAAACCGACCGTCACATCTCACACCCTTCAGCATATCTAACCACATTTCATCCAGTCATATTCCTTCTACGACAAGCCAATCTTCAGTTCCCCTTATAAATCATCCAATAAACAGTCATTCCGTTACGAGTCTTTCAAGTCATTTACCTATTGTCAACCCTAGTTCCTTACCAACGTCGACACCTAATCACATTGGTCCCCCTTCTACCTTAGCTTCTATTACAAGTACCACGATGTCTTCTTTCACCCCCAGCCTTAAGTCCCATCCGGGTATCAATATACCGCAACAGCCGACGTCTGTTGCGACACCAATATCGTCACATTTACCTAGTAATCACGTGGATGCATTACCCACATCGAGTTGTACACCTACGGTGGTTACCCCGGTGTCGACAAATAGCAGTGGCAACAGTAACCACCCTCTTCCACCTCCCATAATAGACTCGAGGCAACCTCCAGTATCGTCTTGTGAACTGCCAGCTCGTACTGAGAGTCCGATAGTGTCGTCTACTCTAGCTTCCAATAGTTATCCGCCCCCAGCAGTGTACTCCGGTTCATCCTACCCTCCTTTGTATACGCCGTATGCCGCCACCATGCAACACAGTCCTTACCTACCCCCTGCTGCGGCATCGCCGAGAAACTCTGCTGACACGGTATGTAACTCTGTTGATAAGGCAATTAAACTACTCTTAATATGTAACCTTATTTTGAGTTATTAGCGATTTTTGTGTCAATGTCTTATTTAATTCTTTCAGAGAACAAGTTTATCAGCATCACCTTTAGTCGCACCAAAAACCCCGAAGGGTGTTCGTCCTCACACGCCGGGCTCGACGGGCGCAGCTGGTGCAGCAATCTCGTACTCTCCGCGCGGACACAGTCCAAACAGGGAACGCGAAAGTTTCAGGTACGATGTCGTATTGAATGCCTTCCTATATCTATTCGACTTAAATTTGAATTGAATTCGACAACCGACAAGTAACGTCGCCCATAATGACACATTAATTTGCCCTACAGCATGGACAATATGGACGTGTTCACAGAACCATGATAAAATTATTTGTATGTGCTTTATTAATCTCACACGACGTTGTGGTTGATTTCAGCAGCAATATCGGCAGTTTGTCCCGCAGTACGCCGGCGTCCGCGGCGAGCTCTCTGCCGTCACTAGCGCCGTCGCTGGTCGCGCCACTAGTTGCACCGCTCGCCGCACCGCTAGCGACACCTTTAGCAGCACCATTACCGGTAAAACAAAATTAATTAAACTATACATTTCTCATGCTGAGATCCTCTTGCTACCGAGATACTAATATCGCCAGTATCAAACATGTGCTCACAAAAACAAGAAGTATGGCAGAAAAAAAGGACGACTCAGCAATCTATGCACCTTAGACGGAATTAAAATAATATTAGCTGTTACATGAAAAAAAGAAAAGACATGAACTATATAAACATCATAAATCACAGGGTCCTCTGCCGGTATCGCTGTCGGGTCCACTGCCAACACCACTGGTAGGTGCGTTAGGTGCACCCCTGGCGCCTACGCTGGGCGGGCCCCTGGCGCCTACCCTAGGCCCGGCCCTGTCGGCGCCGCTGGCAGCGCCCACGCCGACGCCGGCCGCGCCCACAGCACCGCACCTCACGCACTCGCTGGCGCCCGTACCCACCGTGCCTAGCATCAGTTCTAGTGCCAAGCCGCCTGCGCACTGGGGGGTGACGTGAGTACATCATGTGTCATTTCTTGCCATGTTCATATCTTCTGATGCCTGATATCAGTAACCGACTTCCCAAAATTTTAGATGAAGATCGGTCATTGAAATTGGCAGTTAAAAGAAAAGAGATCTTCGCATTGCTAAAATCACATTAAAGTATCATGAATCTACGAGAATTAATCATATTCGTCTCTCTTTCAGCAGGCCGACGGGTGCGGAGCGGCCTTCAGGTTTCGCGCCCGCTCCTCCATTGTTTGGTGCTCCACTCCCACCACCTAATCCCAATCCGTTCTCGGCTGAATCACTCTTTCAAAGCAGTAAGTTCAAGTTTTCTGTAATTGATCATTGTGAAGAAAATGTAATTGGACATGCACTCAATGAAGTGTTGTGTCTTTTAAAACAATGGTTATGAAGATATGAAGTTGTATTTGCTTAAAAACTTTAACTATTTACTAGCAAAGCCAAAAAATATCCACCCTGTTTCTGTACCAGCGACTCGGAAAATGGCATGATGAGATCGTCGAACGTAAATTATTTGGTTGTACTTACCTACCTACATGAAGAGCGTTACATTGCAGGTCCGGGCGCAGATCTGTTACGGCGCGAGCTAGACAGTCGGTTCCTGGCGGCGGCGGGCGCCGTGTCGGGCGGCGTGGCGGGCGCCAGCGTGCGCACCGAGATGCACCACCACCAGCACCAGCACCAACACACGCACGTGCACCAGCACCCCGCGCCGCACGCGCCGCACGCGCCCCACGCGCCGCACGCCCCGCACGCGCCGCACGCGCCCCACCCGCCCCATGCTCCGCACGCGCCCCACGCGCATCCACATCAACTACTCGTGCCGCATGCGCCTCTGGTACGTATAATACACATTCTATAAGTATTCTCTCTACACGTATAGGTTTACTTTTTAAAGTCGAAGCATTATCCATTTACTTTTGAAAGGTCAAAAGTGAAACTAAGTGCTTGTTCTAAAATTTTGATTTCTGAAGAGACCAAACAGGGCCTCCAATGTTGAAAAAATGTTTTACAATCATCGTGCAATATTTTCAACACTGTTCCAGTCTGTTATTATCTGAAAAATTATACGTATTTCTAGTTCTACTTACATGGCTTTTACTACGCTACGTTATATTATTGTTCGCGCTGGTATGAGCGCGTTATCACCAATTTAATGAAACACAGGAATAACGCATTTTGTTTTGCACAAATCTAGAAATATACATACGCGCCTTGAGTGCACAAGTTGTTAAAGTACTGTCTAATATGAGATTTGTTGATTTTCAGTTTAAAGACGTGAGCAAAATGTCTTCACTATATCGGAGTGGTATTGGACTTGGCTACCCGTATTCATCGAGTTTACTACACCCTACTGGACCCTACGTGCCTCCTACGCCACTTACCACATACGCTCCGAAGGTGATTGTCCTTTACGTATTTTACATAACTCTTTTATGATCTTTTTAAATTTCTTAAGCAAGTTCTTAAATTAAATTGTACAGTTATTTAACAGACATAATGCATGTATAATTTTCAATTAATCTTTCTGTTAATTGAAAACTATCAACCAGCTTACTACTTGTCGGTAGCATATAGATTTAATCATATTCTAAACCTAACTCTAAATAAATAAATCCTTCTGTGTCTCTCTCACATCATGATATCATTCTTCTCTTCCAAGTACTGATAAATTTGTCTTAAATACTTGCTTATGCTTGTTTTATGTTTTATTTGCTCCAATCATTAACCCTGCATCGCATAATGTTAACAGCCCGTAGTGTCAGCCGCAAGCGACTCCACCTCTAAACCACCACCACGCCCCGCTGTCGCGGTAGGTTTCCTTCTTAGCACTACATTACATACTTTATGCATGCACTTGTTATAATTACATAATATTTTAAATCTCTACCAATTGATTGATTACCAATTTTAAATATACTCTTTTGGTTCTTCAGAAAAGTGGAAAATGGAACGCGATGCACGTTAGGATAGCTTGGGAGATTTACAATCACCAACAGAAGGAGAAGACCGGCGGTGGGGCCGCCGTGCCGGGCGCCGCCGACAAGGACAAGCTGCGAGCCTTCCCCGCCCCTGCGCCTCCCCCGCCCACGTACCGCTCGCCCTACGAGCTGCCGCCCTCGCCTTACCTGCCGCACCATCCGCACCTAGGTACGCTCCGCCGCCTCGAGCCCGGCCTGCCCGCGCCCGCGCCCGCCCCGTCTCACCGAGCTGTGCGCGTTTCAGGCGTGTCCCCCTTCGGACGCTACGGTCCCACGGCCTACCCCGGCGCGCCGCCCTTCGGGCTCACGGCGTACGGGCGCGAGCTGGCGCTGTCCTCCTCCTTGCATGGCGTGCACCACGCGCCGCCACTCGGCGCGCTGCACGACGCCTGGCGCAACGTGCGCCCGCCCGCACCGCCCGCGCCCGACGCGCGCCGCGACCATGAAGAGCGCGAGCGTGCGCGTCGGGAGCGGGACGAGCGCGAGCGGCGCGAGAGGGACGAGCGTGAGCGACGCAAGGCGCGCGAGCAGCGCGACCAGCGAGACCGCGACCTCGAGCGAGCACGCGCACGCTCGCCCCTCCGCAACGGTGCTGTCGAGGTCAAGGATGAGCGCAAGGAACCTCCGCGTCATCCGCCGCCGCCCTCGCTGGCTGCGTATCCACCGCCCCCGCCGTGGGATCCCTACCGTTCGTTCGATCCGCTTCAACACATGCGGTTCGCGCCGCTAGTAGAGGCGGCCATACGAGCGGAAGAGGACCGTGCCAAGATGCTGAGCGCCTACGCGCACCACCAGCAGATGAAGTCAAGCCCACTACTGCACCGCGCGCTGCCGCCGCACGCTCCGTTGGCGCCGCTGGGGTCGCACGGGGCGCTGGCCCCGCTGGCGCCCCTGGCCCCGCCGCTAGCTCCCCTGGCGCCCTTAGACCTGCTCAAGAAGGAAGAGCCGCGATGATAGCGATCAGGCGCAACAGCCGTGTCGCCGAGTGTGTACATAGAGTAGCGTAAACGACGTCGCAAGTGAGAGTACGACTAATTTAATGTATATCGTTTCGCATTATCGGTTTAGAGAATTATTTATTGTAACGTCGCTTACTGACGGTGTCGGTTCCGTCGGCCGGCCGTCTCGCCGGCTCGTTGTTGGGACGCTAAGGTAGTCGAGTGAGTGAGCAGGCGGCGAGGCGGAGTGAGAGTGGAGAGTGCGACGAGCTCGCTTTCTCTCTGTGTGCAATATTGGACGAGGACACTGGCCGCTCGTCGCCGCCGGCCTTGTACACTACTGCTTGTTTATTTACATGGAAATATCTATCGAGTTGTTATTGTGACCATTATTAGTTAATTATACATGAAAATTGCTGATTATTGTGAAGGATAGGATTATCGAAATCGCTATCGATATAATTATACATATTTATATATACTTATAAATAAACTGTAAATATTAGTTTGTAAATTAGCGTTAAAGTATAGAATTGGTTTATTTAACGTCATACAAAAGAAAATCCCATAAATTATTATTGCATCGGGAGTTTAATTTACACTTCCGTTAAAAATCTCAATGGTTTTTCAATTGTACCAGTGGAGTTTTATTTATTTATTTATACTCCTATTAGTGAACACAATTTCAGGAATAGCAGTTATTTCGTTTAAATGCATTTAAAATATGTGATATTATTGTATTGTGAAATACATTTTGTCTGACTTCAAAGTAGTGTCTCATCAGGTATGTAGATGTAACAGTTATACAATTATGGCCGGATTTGTATTTATCAGAAATCATGGTGTTCTCGGTTTAAGTATTTGTGAGCAAGTGAAGTAATCTAAAATTATTTGTTTAGCGACCTTATTATTATGACATGTACTAGTAAACTCTTATGTGCCATTGAATCATTAATGAAAAGGCATTGGGTCAGACAAAATTGAATTTAGGATCTGTAACTACAGATACATTTAACGGTTTGTGTTCTTAAAATCTCAGGAATGACTCAGAATTATTATAGTTTATTCAAAATCATTCTGTATACTAAAAGTAAATGAAAGCTTGGTGCGATTCAGAAAATACCATTAAAACTTTTGATTTTTATACCAACATGATTTTTTGTGATCCTTTCCCATTCCCTCTCAATTCTCAGGTTTCAATACTTAATTAATTAATTAATTTCAATTTAGATAATTCAAGTATTAATGAGGATGACTTGCTGAAAAATTGATTTCTGTTATTTCTATAAATATTAGGAACCAAAACTGCATTATGAATGACTTGAAGTCCTGTCCCTTAGCTTAGATGACAGAAATTTCCATCGTGAACAGACATTATATATGACCTAATTTAAAAAGGATCATGATTTTTGCTTGCTGGCATCGATTCTCTTGCTATTTTTTTTTATCTTTGTTGAAATACTTGTAATTAAAAGTATGAGTGAGAGCAACAATTATTATCATACTCGAATAGGTACCTACATATTTCATGGTTTTTCATTATTATCGTCCTACACAACATTGAATTAACTAAATAATATAGTCTGCCTTTTAATCTACTATATAAAAATAAGTCAGGTTTTCCTTCCTGACGCTATAACTCCAGAACGCACGAACTGATTTTCATGTTTTTTTTTTGCATTCGTTGGAAAGGTCTCGGGATCCATGAGGTTTATAGCAAAGAAAATCCACTAATCATTAAACGAAATGTTACATAAAACGAAGCCATCTTCTGGTGGCGAAAGGGAGTTCGCCGGGTTTGCTAGTTACTTATAATTTACTTGGATTTTGTTGCAATAACCGAATGGTGACAGTCTAAGATAGCTAAGACAAAGCTGGATAAAAAGCTTATGTTATACTAGATTACAATCTTATCTCGGTTAAATTTCATCTAAATACGGTCAGTAGTTTTAGCATCAAAGGAATAATAAAATACATACCATATTATGTACCGTACATACATATTTATAAACTTTCGCATTTATTATGTTAGTAGGATATTTAGCATGACGAACAAGGAGAACTGAACTGCAGAAATAGTAAATAAAGGTTAGTATTAATTTTTGGAAGGTGCACAGGTCGTCTTAAGATCTGTCTTGATTTACAGAGTGCTAGTTCTCTCCACATTCCCCAGATGAGGGAGTTCCATGAGGAATTTTCATTTAGAAGTAAAAAAATCCTACCACATACCCGTAATTAGTAAGAAAACCAAGTGCTTTCGTTTTATGATTGTATTTTTGACTATGAGCATGTATATATTTTACCTGCCTCATTGGCATGGCAGAGAGTGGTTGCAAGTGCGAAAGCCGTGCCAGGGGTCTCTGGCTCGATTCCCAGGTGGGCAAAGTATTAAAAAATCAGTAGTAGCATGGGGTCTGGAAATGTGCCCGGTATATTGCATTAAGCTCATCCATTACATCGGACTCAACATAAATAGTGAAAAGTGGGTTTACTTCCTCACCACCTCTGCCTACCCTTTCGCGGATAAAATGCGTGATGTTATATTATGTTATATTTTACCAATTGACCTATTTATATTTGGGAATTTAGGAATTTCGTGGCTATGTGACGTTTACTAAACCAGCTAGGTAGGTAGGTAGGTAGGTAAATCAAACAATAAGTATTAGGTACGATTGCACTAGGTATAGCATTTATTACTGCAACTGAGAGTAAAATTTACATAAATATAAAATCATCTATTTTATTGATTGGAGTATGTCATTTATTTTCTGTACCATATTTGAACGGTCTTCATTCTCTTCACTTTCTTCTGTAATTGAAGTACTCCATAGAGTAAAGCTTCAGCTGTGGGTGGGCATCCAGGTACATAAATATCAACGGGTACTATACGATCACAACCCCTGGAAATTAAACAAAGCCATTACTTATATAGTTATTACCCAAAATTTTAAATGAGAATACCTTTCTTAGTATCTTGTAATGTTATGTGCAGATGATTTTGGCAAGTCTCCACTGTCTACAATACTGTGCAGGTAATATATGACATTATGTTCTATTTATTAAATCTAGATAGTTTCAATGTGCAAGAAAGATTTCTAGACTGCCTGTACAACCTTTTCAGGTCATTTAAAAAGAAAGAGCTGTTCTCAGTATATTTAAGTAACTCGTAATTTTTTAGTTATTCATTCATATTCAATAACTCAATTCAAAAACATTATCAAATCTGTTTACTGAACAGTCCTGGGACTAACAGCTGCACTTGGGACAGTTTGGGGTCTGATCACTATGAATAGCCTCGAAATTATGGAATCCTCAGACTGCTCATATTCAAGACTAGGCTCATGAGTTACTATTTCATTTTCTAATGACTTAAGTGACACCACCACAGGTTAAACATCTTTTATACCACATTTGTAAAGCTATGTTACCATGATAAATTTAAAATTACTCACCTTACAACAGAGTAAGAGTAATGGTAGTAACCACCACCGTTTGCGCAGCTGCCCATAGATATAACCCATCTTGGGTCTGGCATCTGATCGTAGACTTTCCTTAAAGCAGGTGCCATCTTGTTGGTCAATGTACCAGCTACGATCATAACATCTGATTGACGAGGAGATGCACGGAAGACCACACCATACCTTGAAAGTAAGTAATTATTAGATGACTATCCAAAGCTGAAAAAAACAAAACTAGCACTTGAAGTTGTGTACCTAGGCCATTTAGAGTTATTCCAATAGATTTCTATTTAGAATAAACATAAAATTGATTTGTTGTTTACTAAGGCTCCTACCTTAATTTTGTTTTTGAGACACTATTATAGGTTTTGTCTATAGAGAAGAGATAGCTGCACGAAGATAATAGTCTAGTTTATGATATATATATATACAAATTTAATTAGAAATTGTATAGGCACAAAATCTATCATTGTTATTGTAATGCTACATACCTGTCCATGTCGTATCGTGGTGCGGCGATGTGCATCATCTCCACGGCACAACAAGCCAAACCAAAGGTCATGGGCCACATTGAACCTTTTCTTCCCCAGTTCAATAAGTCGTCAAGCCTGGCTACTGCCATCTCAGCCATGTTAGTAGCATCTTGAAACGGCGAGTAAGGTCTCGTTTCATTAGGCTTGGGAGCAGGCAAATGGACCTGCCTTATTTTCTCTACAACGGGCGCAAAAGCTCCCTTCTTTACTACAGATAACATTGTAGAAGGAGCCGCAGCTCCCAAAGCTTTAATAGCCTGCATAATGCCTAGAAAATACAAGAACACAAACCACACGTTATTGTCAACATAACATCACCAATGTAATTTATATGAGATTCATTATGACTGACTACTTACAAGTTTAACGCATTAATCAATTATAGTTCGTGTATAGATAAATACGCAATTTCACTTATATCTAAAACGATTGAAAAATCTCTAAAACAAGGTGCCAATTTTACGTAATTTACGGTGCATTCACAGAGAATGCTGACTTTGACATAACGTTTTGAATCTTTTAGAAACAATCAAACCACTTATATATTATGGGTGTACATTAAAATTACACTTTTAGATGTCAGGATTTAGAGAATATTTAATTATGAGCAAAATGTATAGTTTACAAAAATTAAATGGATATTTTATAATAATCCTTTACTAATAATAGGCTTAGTTCACAATTATATCGAACCCTAGAAACAGCTAATTTGAAGTCACCAATGTCAAATTTGACAGTACTTTTGTCTGGCATAGACTATATAGACTCCCTAATTTGATTGCACATTGAAAAGAATAAAATTTTAAAATTAATATAATTGTTATCTTCATCATCTTAGTTACTCACAAAACTCTCACAGAACTCCCTTCCTTGATTTCTAGATCGCAATTGAGATTTTAAGATTTTCATAGACATAATAGTACTACATAATCTATAGATGAGCATAAGACAAAAAAAAATCAAATTAAACAGCTGACATTGTCAATATGACAGTCATTTATATTGTGTTCAAACAGTTTTCGTTTTGTTGTCGAGTCTGAATTTAAATAAAAAACGTATTTTATATTAAAATATCGTGTAGCATTAGTGTAACATTATTCTTGTTAGAAAGTACAAACCCTTCCAAAATGACCAGCACTGTAAAGAAAGTAAGTACATAATTCAAATATAAATAATATGTTCAATACGTGACTTAAAAATCTTAATTCATCTATTTCAGGAGAAAAAATGGTTCAAACCCATGTTTGATTTTGATGATGAAGAAAAACCATCGAAGAAAATAAAAACTGATATGCAAATACAGAAGAAACATGAAAATAATGAACAAGTTGTGAATGAGGTGGGTGCTTTCTTAAAACATTTAAGCCTTTGCTTCCTTTTTGCCATATGAAGATTAATCTCGGGTTGGTTTACTTGGTTTTCAATCCTTCAATCCTGATTATCATATTGGCATTGGCATCCCCTTTTAAGAATATTGTTTTCATGAATAAAATGCCTTCCACCAAGTCAGCTCAGTTTTCTGTTTCATTTAATTTTCTACAAATTTCATATTTCTTCTGTTTTTTTGAATTTCTTATAAAGGTTTCAGAGACTAATTCTGGTGGAAAAGAATTCATTATAAAGGACCATAAACACTGGATGAAAACATTTGAACCAGTACATGTTGAAGATTTAGCTGTGCACAATAAAAAGGTACAAGAAGTAGAAGATTGGATTAAAACAGTGAGCAGTAACAATAATAGTGATATGTTACTCATGACTGGGCCGGTTGGCTGCGGGAAAACTATAACATTGCAAGTATTAGCCAAAAAGTATGGTGTTAGAATCACTGAATGGATAACTCCTGTGGATATTGATATTCCTAGTGAAAATGGTATATTTTTTTAGGTGCTATTTATGAAATTGATGTCTTATTAGAATAAATATTGTGATACTTATTATCTTTAATTTTATCTTTGATTATATCCTTAATTTTTCAGGTGAATATGAATTCAAACAAAGGCAGTCTGTCCGATTTCTAGACTTCTTACTAAATGCAGCCAATTTCACATCTTTGTTAGATGGTAATAGTAAAAAATTGGTTTTGGTAGAGGACTTCCCAAATACTTTTATGAGAACACCATCAGAATTCACAGAAGTTTTACAGTGAGTTTAATACTTTTTCTAAAAATGTGTACTTGTTACACAAATTGTACTATATCTTTAATTAACTGACCAGTCCCCAAGCAGTCACCGGTGACCGCTCTCCACTTACTCCATAATAGACCTTATTTCCGATGTTTAGAGACTACATTTGTTGATGAACAATGTTGTGGATGTTTCATAATCAGGGATTACGAAGTTATTGTTTTATTACAGGCAATATCAGCAAAGGGCAAGGTCACCAATAGTATTCATATGCTCAGAATCTCACACAGATAATAAGAATTCAGCTTCAAATATCTTTACACCAAGTCTGAAAGAGCAGTTCAACATACATCATATTAGGTAAGATTCAGCCTTATATTATAGGTATGCTAAATAAATCACTTCACTATTTGTAGGGTTCTAATTGTAACTGCTGAACACTGGGTCTTAGCGTCAGTGCCAATACTTGGTCAGAGCATAGTGTTATTGGAGTTTCAGCATTCAAAATTAGCTTTGCATGAGACTGCATGGTGTAAATCAGGGCCGACCAAACAAAGGCCTGCAGCTTGTTTACATGTGGCCCGCGACACAATTTAATCTCAACTTCTTCATCTTATGTGCAACAACAATAATAAAATTCAGTGTATAATTGTATACAAGTTTAGTCTGCGAGTAAAGAATACAATATTAAACGTCATTATACAACTGAAAATATTTTTCTGGCCCTTCAGGGTTTGTAAGAAATGTAATTAGCCCGTGAGGGTATATAGTTTGGATAGCCCTGGTGTAAATTGTGTATTACATGGAATGTTTCAACATTGCTTTTTATGTAATTTCAGTTTCAACAGCGTAGCCCCAACAAATTTAAGGGCAGCATTAAAACGGGTTGCTAGTATAATTAGTAAGAAGCACACAGCAGTGTATAACTGCCCAACAACAGATGTGATTGAATGTGTTGTTAACTCTTCCGCTGGAGACGTGAGGTCAGCTGTATTGAACTTGCATTTTGCATGTTTGAAAGGTAACAGTCTTTTGGATAGTGAATAATATTTGAAAGTAGCTTTTTGACCACATTACTTCTTCATTATAATTTTTTTCAAGGATACTTATAACCACTGGTAAAAACTGCATAAAAATTTCAGTTTTGTGTTTATTGTGGATAGATGGATGTGGCTGGCGCCTTTTTTTATAATACTTTCGAGGTTTGATAGTGAATGTTTATTACATTCTAGGAGGATCAAAGCAAAACATGGACACAAGTATAGTGCATGGAAAAGAATCAAAAAGTAAAACGACAAGAAAGAAAAAGACCAGTAAATTTATGTCTTTAGGAAAAGATGAATCCGTTAGCATTTTACATGGAGTCGGCAGAGTATTGAATCCAAAAGGTACATACATAAACTTACTCAGAAATGGGCAAATGCCACAGCATTTATGCTGTATGGTGAGAGTGCGTGGGAATTGCACAACTTGATACCCCCTAGTCCTTTCCATCATCGTACCACAAGACAATCGGCGAAGCGTCACCGATTCATGGTAGATCTCCCACCCACCCACACGTACGAAGCGCTTCGCATCAAGCTTCCTTGTGCGTACTGCTAAAGAGTGGAATTCTTAGCCAGAGTCTGTATTTGATCAAGGTCTTTATAACCTGGGTGTCTTCAAAGCCCGAGTGAGTAGGTTGCTTATGGGACGACGTGCTCCATTGTCGACCGCATCATCGCTTACCACCAGGCGAAGTAGAGGTCAACTGTTGGCATATAACAAAACGGAATACTACATATTACGAATTTTACTTATTTCAGTAATAGAAACCGACAATGGTAGCAAAAAGTTCACACATACTCCTGAAGATATAGTAGAACAATTCATCAGTCAACCTGTGTCTTTTGTAAATTTTTTGGAAGAAAATTATCTACCTCATTTTTCAAATATTGATCATGTAGACAAAGCTGCGTCAGCGCTCAGTGATTCAGACTTGATGCTGGCTGAATGGCGAGTAAGTAGTAATTTTTTCAGAATAAGTAATAATAGTACTTACTTTTCTTCATTTCACAGCAGATTTTTATAACAAAATCAATTTTTGCAGGAAAAAATGTGTCAAGAATATGGTTTATATAATGCAGTCGCCAGTTTGATGCTTGCCAACAAAGCTCCTGTCTCTGCTTGGAACCCAGTGAGGGGTCCAAAAAATATGAAGATACAATATCCGTAAGCCCCTTAGTTCATGTTTCGATATTTTCAATATGTAGCAAGAATAATCTTATTTTTCTTTTACTGACCCTTTTCATCTCATTTAATATTATATTATGATTTTGTTTCAGAACTGTAAGAGAACTCCAATTACTAGAAGAAAACTATTTGTATAAAGGAAAAATATTAGTTTCCGATTACCAAACATATTGTAAAATAATAAGTAATAAAACTGGTACCTGATTGTTTATTACTTTTGTATTTCTTTTTTGTTTTCACCGAAGTATCTGATTATGAAACAAAGTTTTAGTTGTTTTGAATGGCAATATAGATATAGTTACTTTGGGTAGATCTGACAATTATTACTTGTATTGTGTACTAACTGATGTAAAGCATCATTAATTATTGGTATATTGAATGATAAGCATGGCATATTCTATTTAGCTAGTCTAATGAAATAAAATGCATCATTATACTTAGAAGTTATTATTGTTTATTACAACAAGAAAAGCAACACTTTAAATTATATTTAAATTGTAGAATAAGTTTTCTACTTGACATTGGAAACAGGATCTTTGGATCTGGGAATAAAAATTAAAAGTCAGATTACTAATACAATTTATTAGCAAAGAAGAGTCAGCTTTTCTGTATTTTGGAATTTACAAATACAATATTATTACATTACACTCCACACTGATTTAGTTTTTTTGGTACAGTTCATCTGGATTGGGCACTCACTCAGTTGTTTCCATTTTGCAAGCTTTTATAACAAGAAACATCTCGTTAAAAATATAATCAAATAATATTGCAGTCATAAATAGAAATACTCACCTGTGCTACATCGGCATTACAAACCAAGTCTACAATACAATGGCCATATAGATGGGAAGCAGAGTCATACTTACCTCTGGTGTCATCTGGAACATGTGTACCAAATTTTTATGAGAGGCTCCCAAATAAAAAGTCGGGGTCAAATGATTTGTGTTGGTGTATTGCATGCAAAGCGGCGAGGGTGTGTTGTCTGTTTGTCTGTGTGAGGGAGTTATCGGGAGGAGGAGGAGGAGGACCTGGAGCGTCGGCGGCGAGGTGCCGCGCGGGGTGAGCGGGAGCGCGAGCGGCGCCGCCGCGGCGGGGACCGACGCCGAGGAAGCGGGCTACGACGACGGTACCTGTGTATTAAAAACAAATAATATTGTTAATACCCTGACTCGTTATTTTGCTTTCTTATTGATTGATTTCCTTAATAGAACTTTTCTACTATCAGAATTATACAGTTATTATACGAGTTATTAATTGTTTTGACATATTACTGACCGAGGAGGGGAGTGTCGACGTGGTGGCGCGTGTCTCGGTGGTGGTGGACGTGGCGATGGTCGACGAGGCCGTGACGGGATCAACACCGGCGCCGCTGTAATCTCCTGGCCGTCGATTTGTCCTGTGAATAACATGTTACTTATACATATCAGATGTCAACACAAAAATAAATAAATAGAGATACAAATACACAGAGTTTAGCTACTATTCTGATAATCTTCATTCTGTATTGGAGTGTTTTTAATTTGTATTCTCATTTTTTAAAATTATACAACAAGTTGGAACTCAGACAGTGAAAAACAAATATCAATACAGCTGTCTTTGAGTTATTACTACTAGAACTAATAAATTATGATTTATTACTTTGTTCTGTAATTGATTACTTATTCATTAACTGGAAATAAAGAACTTTACACTATCAATAACATGTTAGTAAAATTTACCTCCATCCATGTGCTTCATAGCATTTTCTGCCTCATCAGCATTGCTGAATTCAACATATGCATATCCACGACCATTGTGGGGATGTAGCCGATCCATTGGGAATTCCACAGCCTTCACAGTACCATATGTTGAGAAAATCTCATGAACATGATCCCTAGTCACATTCAGAGTCAATCTGCCAATATGGATACGCGTGGGCCTCGGTGGTGGAGAGCGCTCTCGCTTCTTGCGGCCTGGAGATCTAATGAGAAAATATTAATTTACATTAACATAGAATAGTTTACTAATACTGTAAAGTTGCCATCAATAAGTACTTTAAATTATTGTATAAGTAATTATGATTAGTATTAGGTCATCAGTAATTAACACTCACCTATCATGTTTCTCCTTGCTTTTACTCTTATCATTAGACGATGGAATTGCTTGTTTCTTCTTATCACCAAGTGGAGATCTATCCCTTACTTTGTCTCTATCAGGTTCACGGCGGTCCTTGATGGGGCTCTTGTTTGGGGAGATTCTAGAATTTGACAATAAACACCATAAGTCTATAGTAATAAAGTATGAAACACTAAATTGAGTTACAGTTGTTCATGTTCTTACTTCTTCTTTGGTCTGGAGCGGTCATTGTTGCTGCTACTGCTGCTAGACGAGCTGGACGACGAGGAAGAACGAGATGAACTACCTGAACTGCTCGACGAAGACCTAGATGACGACCGAGACGAGCTACTTTCTGATGAACTGCAACAAAATACCATAACCTTTAGTGGACAATATTAGTTAAATGAAATTAAATTACAAATTATTGTTTTTTAAGGAAGACAACAGACGGAAAATTAAAATACCACGGCTACAAACATAACCTAAGTTATCATTATATAGCACTTTGATACTTGTTCTTGTTTATTTGGAATTACTAGATAGAGACTTACCTGCCGCTACTATCACTGCTGCTAGATCCTGAATCGCCTTTCTTCTTTTTATTTTCTCTTGGTTTCTTTTTATCCTTATCGGATGCCGCCGAAGGCGACTTAGTTCGCGCCCTGTAATCAAATGCACATTCGTATTAAGAATATATCGTAGCTTGAATAACAACAATCAATTAAATCGCAAGAAATACATACATTTCACTGTATTTTCCTAACTGTTTCAATGGTATTTATTTTATTTGTATCACCACCAAACAATGTTTCATCGAGCGTCGTTGAGAGTCGAATGAAAGAATGAACTGTTGGAATGAACGCATGAACTATTGAACGAGTCGTTGGAGGAAACGACCATAGATAACAAATTATATTGAATGGACACATTGTATGCCACAGATTAAATTAACGAGAATGAAAGTTCAGTTCCTTGTTAACTTTTTTGTTTTGTACGTATATTTTAAACATTATTTTTAGGCAAGGACGTTGAAAAAAAGACGGACATAGTCTCTTGAAACAACGACTGTGGGACCTGGCTACTATAGACTTACACGCAAAATACTTACAAATTGGCATGAACACGAAGGAGAAAATCCCAATGTGGGGCAACAAAGAAACACATAAAGTGTGACTGCCTCGTTGGCCAAGTGTGACTAAGTCTCGGGTTCAATTCCCGGGTCGGGCAAAGTATTACTGGGTTTCTAAAAATCTCAGTAGTAGCACGGAGTCAGGAAATGTGCCCGGTATATGGCAATAGGCTCACCCCCTATTACATATGACTCATAACATAAATAGTGAAAAGTGGGTGTTACATTGTACAGTGGCATTAAGTGCCGTAATGTGCATCTCTCTCTACCCCTTCGGGGATAAAAGGCGTGATGTTATATTTTAAAGTGTTGTTCCTTCGATCGTGCGGGAATCGAACCCATGAAACGTTGCACGACGGTAGGTTGCCCAGCCACCGCACCAACCGTGTAGTCAAATTACTATTGTTAAAACTCAAAGGAGAAAAATAATAGAAGATAGGAAAAGTCTTATGTAGGTAATAATAGTATACAACATAAGTCTGTAGGTAGGTGGTACCTATTTATTATGCAGTTCTACACACTGACACCACTTGTTGTATATAGGTAGGGGTATAGTAAATGTAAATGTAAAGGTACTTTTTGGGTATTCTTGCTAGCTGATTATGTTCCCGATCGGCCACTTCTGTACGTACTACGTTTGGCACGGCTATTAAACGTTGGTTTGTTTTAGACATTTATGTACTTTCTTGATAGGTACCTACATAAATATTTAAAAATACATCGAATATCTGTTCCCAGTACTAGTTGCACAGTTTGTTCGTTTAATAGTACATTTAATTTTATCCAGAAAGGCTATGGTTTACAAATTATAACGCTAAGTAGCTAGTATTCTACAAAAATAATATTTTTCCAACAACATATTTGATAACATGGGATTCGCGACAAAGACATATTTAAGTTGATACCTAAACTACCTAACTTTCTTATATAATTTGGTTGCATCCAAAAAACATTTTCTTTGTTTTTGTAATAACTATCGTAAGACATACTAAATTAACTAAAAATCGCGGGTTACTCACGTGAATATACTGAAAATACTGAAAAACTACTAGTTTCGGACCACAGACAGAGGGGTTCTTCGTCATGACCAGCGTGTGCGGTCTCAGTATATATATTTACGTGAGTAATCCGCGATTTCTAGTTAACATTTTCTTTGTTGTTAATATACAATGTTATTAGGTACCTATATCTATTTATAATAGTTGTCACAAGATCCAATTCCAATAGTAAATAAACAGTCGATTGATGACGTACGTGGGTAATCACTCTCAGAGACTGGTAGCCGTTAAGTGCCCGAAATGATTAGCTATAGGCCTCCCGCTGGTCGACATGGCCCGCACATTAGAGCAATGGGAAGCTCATGTTGCATTTACGAGAGTTTGCCCTCGCTCATTGTGACCTCTTCAGCCCTTCCTTTTGTTAGGGGACAATCAATAAATTGAAGTGTCTCACTTAAATGTTATGTTGTTTTGAACTTGGTATTTCTTTTATTGACACCCCTGTTCTTTCCGCCCTTGTCGTTAGTCGGAATAGTCAACTCTTTTCTCTTTTTTCTTTTTTTGAACTAAACTAAATGTAAAACTAAACAGCTATGGCACTACGTGACGTTGGTTCGTACTTTAACAGAGACAGGTTGGTTTTTAGTCTGTAAGATGATTTTAGCCCCTCAATTAAGTAAATAACAAAAAGAAACAGACCATACCGTACCATTTTCTGAAAAATCTAAACTGTGGTCAACCTGCTTGTGTGGAAACGGGGTCATTATTACAAACCCCCCTAAAAATAGTCCAGTAGTGGGCTGCAGGGTTCTTGCTTGACGTCATTCTTATTAACAAAGTTAATGATAATGTTCTACCTACGTATAACCGATGTAAGATTTCCACCCTATAGTCTTACAAACTTTTAATCACCGCGAGAAAATGTAGGGATGATCAAACGCTTCCTGCCTACCACATTTATTCCAAGAAAAAAAGTTACCGAAGCTTTTGTTTTTGTTTACAATCGCTTAGGTGTTTTAACGTAAATCAATGAATCAGGTTTCTTGTTCATTTTTCGTCATACTATACTTATCTAGCTAGATGTATAAAGTTATTTTCGAATAAATAGAAGCATTTACTGCATTACTGACAACACTGAACGAAAAATGATTATGAAATTGACCTCCGCAACATGTTTTTCACTCGTTTATCAGTTCCTATAAGAGGGCGAATACTCATTACATAAATAACCCCATCATATTTTTTACAACAACACTCGTAAGTATACAATAGTTTGCGGCCGAAGATTATGTATTTCTCACGATAAACTCGCTATTATGGTTATTCTTATCGGTTATTTGATGGCGGCACTTTATGAGTTTTTAGCACTGAATATCAATAGACTTCGGACTACTCGTGGAGCTCATGAAAGGCTATATTTGAACCTACACATTGATAACTATGTATAGCCTTAATCCCCGGATTTGATAACGGCATTATTTTATAACTATTGCCTCCTCGAATTGTTTGATTGGTCTGATATAGCGGCTAAATATTTACCCGACAGGTAAATAGTGGTATAAAATATATTAGCATGTTACATGTTTTCATTATACCTATGTAAATGAATTCTGCCCCTGAACAAACTGAACATGGCCACTACGTTCCTCAATTCTCAGAAATAATCCATTTTCTATACAATATCTCTTAACATTTCAATTAAAATTTAAATACAGACAGTAGACATTTATTGTTGTTTCCATTATTATATAGTTACCTAATTTATTTTTGTTGTGTTTGTATTAATTAAGACTAGATTCAAGTACTTACGAGACTTACGAAACTTGTAATTAATCAGTTAGAAAGTGCAAGTATATAAAAAGCTGATTTAATACGAACCTAGGACGGATCCCTTGTTAATAATAAATTAAACACAGCATACGTATAACTTAATTTATGGAAGTATTTATCGTATTATTATATTAAAATATGTACGAAGCACACTTACGTCCAGTTTCTATAACCTATCTATCTGTAGATTTGCTTACTAGAGATAGAATTTTGACACATTTTGTATGGAGCTCATGTCAAAATTCTATCTCTAGTAAGCAAATCTACAGATAGATAGGTTATAGAAACTGGACGTTAGGTACTCTGTTGCAAAGATAATCTTACTTTAGGAGCCGAGCAGCCCACGTTTGCAATAATTTTATTATGATTAATTTGTTTCTCCTTTAAAACATAAAATATCTACTTACCTTGTGTTCGCAATAGCTATAAATAATAATAAAGTGTTGGAATAAACTTTGTTGGAGGTAGTTTAAAGAATATAACGGATCTAATAGTAATTCCAGCTCTGATGACGTGTGTTGTGGAGCCGCGGAGGACCTAACGGTTTCCCGGGGCTCCGGTTTGAAGTGCAGGAGTAGGAACGGGGTGGTTTTTAGTCAGTAAGAGACACTGAGTCTGCTTTACTCAGGCGGGAGAAGTCACTCTATGATTTTCTTCCTTAAAAAGGGTCTGTACATATGCATAGTGTGTAGGTAATATACTTACAATAAAACATAGATATGAATATATCTGCCTAAATGGTAAAGAAGTTCATAGCTACAAAAACTAAAAAATTGTTTTAATTAACATGTGGATTAATGTAGGTACATACCTAATTGTACAAACCTTGACAATTCCCACACATAGAATGCACTGGTCAAAGGTTCACGATAATACAACAATTGACATGTGATGAGTGTGTATTTCAGATTCTTTGATTTTATAATACAGTATTGGAATATGTATCAGAGACATTGTAGAACATACTTTTTTAAAAAGAGTAACGAATGGAGTTTCTTGCATTACATTTTGGAATGAGCACCTAGCTTCACCTAGCTTCACTGACGGACTGACTGACAGACTATTAATTATTTTGTATTTGTTGACGTTTCAAAAGTACCAAATTATGGTTTAATTGAAATAAATGCTTTGACTTTGACTTTAATAGGTATTACAGTTACAGATCGACCTAATAAAAGCATGTTAAATTCGATTTCGATTTAGTTTTAAAACTAGGGCTTCAAAATTCTTATTCAGCAGTTGGGCTTCTGTCCAATATACCACAGAGCAGTAAAAAATTTCTTGTAATTTTTGCAAAGACGGGTTGTAGCGAATAGCGAAGTATTCTACATTAAAATGTTTAACCCAAACAGATAAGATGTACCAACCGCACTTAACCTAGTTCTTAAAATTCATGATTTAAGGGCGTTGGCGGGTTGAATATTAGCCATCTCATATTTCCTTCATCTTTCATCTAGACATAGACTAATCTATCATCTAGATGGATATTTTTATGAAATACATAAATTATTTTGAAGTAACTATTGCAGATTTAATGATTGCACTATTAGGCGGGTGGCTGGTTACTGCGCAAAGTATTGCGGGTTCGATTCTAGTACGATAAATTCTGCGTGATCCACAAATTGGCATTCCGAGTTTGGATATTGGAGTTTGAAAAATTATGATGTGTTCACACACCCATATATTAAACTAGCTACTTCTACGCGGTTTCACACGCTCTGCTCAGCTCCTATAAGTCGTAGTGTAATGTTTTATAGCCTATAGGAATCCTCGATAAATGCGTTATCCAACACAAAAATAATTATTCAAATCAGATTTGTAGTTACGGAGATTAGCGCGTTTAAACAAATAAACAAAAAAAAACAAACTCTTCCGCTTTATATAATAGTAAGTATTTATAAGATACAAGCTATATGATAAGATATTGCATTGTAGAAAAATGTAACTACTGTTTGTTAGCAATATGTATCCAATCACCGAAATATTGCCATCGAACATAATTTGCATAAGTAACTGGTAAAAAGAATAATAATATATTTAATATAAATAAAATATACCCACGCCTACTGTCAAATAATTTACAAAATAGAGCAGTCTGGACATCATATGGACACAAAATGTATCCCTTTGTCACTATGAATGTAGTGTCCCACGGGATTTCATTGATATCACTTGCTTTGTAAACATAATAAATGGTTTTATAATGATCGGCTACATTTGTCGTAGGGTTTAAGTTAGTTGCGCCTACAACCTACGTACGTAGATGCTATTGTTACTATTGACCATTTTCAAAAGAAAATATGTTGAATGTTTTTTGCAGAAATCCATATACTTAATAGGTAGGTATATAACATAGATTTTATAGATTTTATGACGTCGTTTAATTTACTCAATGAAAATAAATTCAACATTTATATCTTTCTTAAAAATCAAATATGTTTTATTGTGATTTGCAGGGCCTTTTTATATGACATTCAAACTATCTATACCAATATTATTCTGGCATAAAAATAAACGTTTTTAATAATTGTGTCATCGATTAAATCTGATTGGTTAAAAATAAAATTTGTAAAAAGAATGTAGGTACATAAGCACAAACTATTTTTCATAGGTCCATTAGCCAAAAGATTTTTACGTTTTTAGAGGTATACTTTTTTAAGTTTTTTTTTATTTTCATTCTATTCAGATCCAATCAATCAGAATAGAATATCATTTTATTCAGATTCACAAATTAATGAAGTCATAATATTATTTTATCCATGACATATCATAATCGTGTAGTAGTGTGCCCATTAACAAAATCCTCTCAATGTGTGCGTAATATTTTCAAAAACAAACAGCCTTGTGTAGGTGCACATGTTGGCCTTATAAAGGCTTGGGCGGCGCGCTTATCGTCCTATATAATCACAGGAGCTTTCGCGCACCGCTACTGCCTTCGGTTGCCGATCAAACCGCCTACCGAACGTTTCGAAAATACTCGTTCTAAAGTGAAGTTGCAGTTGTTTGTTTGAAGTTCTTATTTCAAATTACGCGCTTCTTTTATATTCTGTGAGTATTTAACTTTTTTTATAACAGATTATAATTTTTTTAAAGTGAATTTTTACGTTGGTGTATTTTTGTTGTGGCTTATTGATGATGGGTTTCGTTACTTATGCACAAAATTTTTCTGTAAAATTCGTTGCTTAAAATTTAAATTGTAAGGTTAAATTACTAAATATTTTAACTTTTTTATACATCTAAATAATTATGCTGAAATCGGTACTAGCACGTTTTTATTTACATAAACATATAGAAAGTAGCTTTGTAGTTCTTACGTTATTAAAACAATAGAAACATTTCTAGCAATATATTAATATAATAGGTCTAATAAATTAATTCTGAAGGTTATGAACATTAATAGATAAGTTTATACTGAAAATAATAAACACGCAGATTTTTAAGAGACAAAATAATAGAAAACAGATTGAAAATTTTATTTCCTCGAAAAATTCGGTTGAATGACTTTATGGAACCTAAATAAAATAAAACCAATATAATACCAATATAAAATAGTTTCACTAAAATCCTTTTCGGTTTTCTTTAATAAATCCATTAAATTAAATGACGAAACTATGACGCATTTTCCATTTTTAGAAGCAATTTATGATTAATTTATTTATCCCACAAATACCCATTTAAATAGAAATTTGATGTGGATATTCTCTTTCGTACCTAATATGTCATGAAAAAGGGATTTCCTTAATTCGATGGGGTTTCCCATAATTTACATATTATGTATATCCCTATATTATTTCCTGCATCATTTCTTGTGTATAAAATAGGGAGCTGACATAGACAAACTTCATTTTAATTGCAACCTTTTTGGTGAACGTATCAAATTGAGTTTATTGAATAAAAAAAAAACAATTTTGTCGAGCAGGTGAGTTGTTTGTTTTTTATTTTACGTTACTACTAATAACATTTAGTTACAAATAGAAATACTTTGTTACTTAAAAAAAATTCAGTACAGTTTGCCCTTTTTGATATTTCTGAGCCCAAAATCAATACTTCTTTACTCTACTCGTAAGAAATCGTTGACCAATTAACCAAATACCAATAAACATAAAATATTTTACAGACAACCATAAATAACATTTACAAAATAAAATAACAATATACTATGATTAAAAAACATTACTTAAGACACCAAAATAACTAAAACATGAATACAACTTATTCTAAACTAGCTTCTGCCAGCGGCTTCGCCCGCGATCCCAGGGGTAAAATGCCTATGTATCACTTTAGACCATAATCTACCTCTGTTCCGAATTTCATTCCGGTCCCTTTAGTCGTTTTAATATATGACTGAGTAACAAACATACACATAAACTCACATATTTTCATTTATAATATCGAGTCACGCTAATTTTACAGCGTAAAGTCTATGAATGAGTATTGTAAACGTTAGAGTAGACAAATACAATCAGAAATCACCGAATTGCTAAGCTATCGGGAGTTTCACCTGTTATTGTGAGTCAACCATAAAAGATAGACATGTGCTGTCGAGGAATATTTTTTATATAATTTAAAGGAGAATATTTCCGTCATACATGATTTCTATGTAGCTTTAACCTATAAGCCTGCACACGCGACGGAAATTTAAAAAATGGAGTAACTTCTCCCGTTTTCCCAATATTTCCCTTCACTGCTCTGCTCCTATTGATCGTAGCGTAATGAAAAGTATACTATAACCTACCCAAGAGTATGAAGAATAATTGTGCCAAATTTCGTTAAAATCCGTCGAGTAGTTTTTGTTTCCATAACGAACATACAGACAGACAGACAGACAGACAAAAATTTTACTGATTGATTTTTTGGCATCAGTAGCGATCCCTAACCACCCCTTGATAGTTATTTTTTAAATATATTTTATGTACAGAATTGACCTCTCTACAGATTTATTATAAGTAATAGATAGATAGATGAAAAACGTCAAATATTTATACCTAGATAAACGGAATAAGACCAAAGTAGTTATTATCCCGTCGAAATAGAGATATTGTAGCTTGTCATTCAGCTATCACACGGGCTTTAAGTTCTTACAAAAGGATCACTGCAATGTGTCGCTCCGTTAAATTCATATTTACTTGTGTTATTTTCATTTCCAAAGGAAATTTCTGTAAAACCATTTGGGCAATGGAAAAGTTTGTGTTTTAATGGTCAGTGATTACTTGATTAGACTATATATATATATATATATATATGCGTAAATTGTTATGTATTGCAATGTATTACTGGGGTTAAAAAAAACTCAGTAGTAGCACGGAGTCTGGAATTGTGCCCAGTATATAGCAATAGGCTCACTCTGTATTACTTGGGACTAATAAAAGAAATAATGAAAAGTGGGTGCTACATTGTATAGTGGCATTAAATGCCGTAATGTGTACCTCTGCCTACCCCTTCGGGGGTAAAAGGCGTGATGTTATCTATGTCAAAGTATACATGGTACAAGTTTTAAACTAATCAAATTGTTAAGCAAACCAAATAATACCTGATTATTTTATTAAGCTGTGAATAACTTCCATTAATCTGAATCATCATTGGTATTTTTCTTTTAATTATAATAAAAATATCTTCGTTATACAGCAGAAGAGTACTAAGAGATACTCGAGTAGTAAAGAATATTTTCATGTTTAACTAAAGATTGAACCTTGGTCTACATTCAGAAGTACAAACAATAGTGCAGGCTCTAATCGCCGTGTGATACGGATGATCCGTGCTCCCGCATAAATCGGCATACGTCTTTCTTCAACATTTTTTTTAAGGAATAAAGTTTTTCCTGCCTATTTATTCCGTAGCACAATTGTTAAATTATTTGAGGTCTCTGAATCATTTTCCTATAATTTTTGTTCAGTTCTCTGTCTGTTCTTGACTTACAAAACCGCCTATCAAATGCAAGGGTCGTGGATAACTCTCCTTAACAAGAAGACCTTTGTTTAGCTGTGCACTTAAAATATATTTTTGTGAATCGAAGACAGATTAAAAAAGAAAACCTTACAGTAATCCGACGTGAAACAACGCTTACGTAGTGATTCGTTGTATGAGTGAGGTTACCGGAGGCCTAATTACCCCCTCCCCAGTCTCCCCAATCTCTACATACCCCACAATCCTTGCCAAAAAGGCCGGTAACGCACTTGTAACGCCTCTGGTGTTTCAGGTGTCCATGGGCGGCACCAATTGCTTACCATCAGATGATCCGTCTGCTCGTTTACCGGCTTATCCCATAAAAATATTAATCTTATAATGGTGATTCTCTAAAAAGTAATTTTCTGAAATTTCTTTTTAACTCTTTGAGTACCGTCATTATAGACACAATTAAAGAACAATAGGTTGCGGTCACCGGTGTCCTCGCGGTGTTTGACAGTTTCTGTGTCTTATATAGTGGAAATTTAAACGCAATTGTTTGGTGCTTCAGCTAGCCGACCTATGCGCCCCATATCGCCGACCCAGCGCCCCGCGAGTTTATTTCATTCATAAATCTGCATTTAAAATGTGTTGATAATCTTCGGCAAACTAAATTATGTGTGACTAAAATGTATTTATTATAAGATTAAATTAGTGGTCTAAAGAGAGCTATAAGCTAAAGGGCCAGTTCCTATGTGAGCTGGAGTGGTGTTGCTATTTTTAATTTTATTCTAATAATATTGTTATTGCTATTGGAAGTGACTTTCCCTGAACAAAGGCCTATGTTCAACAGTACACATTTTGTTTTTATAATAACTATCGTAAGACATACTAAATTAACTAAAATCCGGAGTTACTCACGAGAATATACTGAGAAAATCATTTCAAGCATCGACAGCCGTCTCAGCGGGAACGACCTCTGGTTTTGGGAGGGAGTGATGTGGCGACACATGGTACATGTCAACGGATGGCGTCACAAAAATCCTACATCGCACATGCAAAGTTTACATGCAAATTAACACGGATAGAAAATCCCAACGAACAACTGTTGGGCAGATAGCCCGCCAGGCACGATCACCTCGCCTGGTCGGAGGATCCTCCTTTTAGTTTCGAGTCACAGATACAGTACACATCTTAAAGCTGATAAATTGATAATGAATTTTGTTGTTTCCTCAGGTTTGTCCCGTGTGTGATGACCATCCAGCGATGATGTACAGCCCCGTGCCGTTGTTGCTCCTTGTCCTCACAAGTACCCTCGCAGCTCCTGCCATGTATGACGACTACACGGTAAGCTTTATTTGAAACCTCGTAAGCAAAGATGTTCTAAAAGTATGAGTATGCACCCTTATCAAATCCGTTAAGACCACGAACAAGTAATCAAACGTTAATTGTGAACTTCTTAACAGCTTTCTTCAGGAAAGTAACTTTAGATTATTTAGATGAAACAAAAATTACAAATATAACATTTGTAAATGTAACATAACGTCACGCTTTTTATGTTCGAAGCACATTACGCCACTTAATGTCACTGTCCAATGTAACACTCACTTTTCATTATTTACGTTTTTAGTCCTATGTATTAAGGGTGAGCCTATTGCTATATACCGGGCACGTTTCTAAACTCCGTGCTACTACAGAGATTTTTTTTAAAAACCCAATAATACTTAATCCGACCCGAGAATCGAACTCGAGACCCCTTCCCTGCAGTCGCACTTGCGACCATTCGGCCAACGATCCATTTGTAATTATGTTTTCCGATATACTTATTTACTTTTCGAAGTATCTATTGAAAAAGATACAAATACTTACATCTAAAAACTATTATTATCGGATATCACAAACAATTTGAAACAAAGAACAGACACAGGATATCTAAGCTCTGAGAATTAGGTCATGTTCACACGATAGTTAGACTCTGGCGCGCTCGAATTAGGGCTGGCTTTGGATGACAAGCGTGACAGACGTTGCGCTGACATATAGGGATGATGCTACTACTATTGTAAGGTCGCAGATAGTGCATTTGTCGGAGGTCACCTGAATTATAGCCGTGATCCAAGTGGTTGATTAAACGATTGTGGTCAACGTGCTTGTTCCGACTGTTTGATGTGTCCTATTAATAATTAGTGGATTAGTGTATATTCGGGTGTTTATTTATTTGTTTATTTATTTAAAGGCAACTAACAAAGCATACTCTAAAATACATGATAGGTTTTTTACATATTTACATATGCCGGAATACTGAAACGTTACTCAATTTTAAGCCGTGCTTAAATATCGTGCCATCTCTGTCTTTTTACAAAGAAATTGTAGAGACAGAACTATACTTAAGCGGGACTTAAAATTGAGTAACGTTTCAGTATTCGGGCGTTAACATTGTAAAGTATAGCCTTAATTAAAGGGTGCCACGACATGCATTAGAAAAGAACAGGATATTACGGCAAAAAGTTCGCTTATAAAAAAAACACATCTTAATAATACTTGTTAAATCACAATTGTTAATTTTTATTTTTTAAACTGTACAATTTTAATACAATTCAAATATATAGTGCAGTTTTACTCTGTGAGAATATCGTACACAGGACAGTTTTCACCTTAAAAAGAGATGAGACATGTCAATATCGACATTAAGTGAGCATGACAGGCGACTAAATTGTTCCTGCATTCTATTCATTGATCTTAAGTTAATAATTACATGGTAGATACAAAATTGTATAAGTCAAGTCAAATGTCAGACTTAAAATAAATACGTATACGCTCGTGTTCAGAAAAATGTAGTGAGATAAAAATAATTTGTTATTGTACTATGTTGTCGTTGTCAGGAACATGTTTCGATCAAATCAAGATAACAAGAATACTTATATGTTATACAACTACATATTACTTTGTTTTTTGTTCATACAAACGTTATCATTTATATAATTTCTTAGTTAGGTAACGAGTTGTCCTTATGTCCAGGATATTTATTATTTTCAGCATAACATACTTAGTTTTCATTTCATTTATTTATTTATTCATTTAACAAGTTACATTATGTCTGAAATTTAATATAGGTACAAAAAAAGAGACAAGCAAATTCACATTACGAAAACATAATCACATACACAAAAAAATTATAATAATCGAATTTCATTAATTTAGACTTCTAAGCAAGGCGTTTTTAATGTCAAGAATCCAATCAATACAATCAATATACAGTTTCAGAAGTACTTAGTTACATCATTATTTACTTCTCTTGTTAGCATCATAGACAAAGAAACATGCACTATATAAAAATAAACTTCATGTAGCAGGAGGCGAACCTATTACCAATCTCTAGGATAAAGACAAAGTTCCCAACTTTGTGCTCTCACAAAATGTAAGATAATCTTACCCGAAATTCCATTGTGGGTCTATTTTACCATTATTCAATCAACTAAATAAAAAAACAAAAGTAAAAAAATATATTTTTATGACACAGGAGGTGGTCCCCCAGAAACGAGCAGCCTTGGTCCTGGACAGGCTGCTGGTGGCTCTGCAGAAGGCGCTGCATGAAGACAATGGGCCGCAGCGAGGGTACCAGCGCATCGACCCCAACGGACCGAGAACAGCACCACTACGCATTGCTGACGATGAGATGAATGATTTGGTAACATATCATATACTAGCTTTTACCTGCGGCGTCGCTCGCGTCACAAAAGGAAAAAAACTAGCCTGTGACATAATAATATACCAATACACATAGCGCCATCTATACCAATACTTTTGTTTTCCCTCGGGAATATCAATTTTTTCCGTGATAAAAACTACCCTATTATTTAATCCGGACTTCTAATTTTACGTCTGCAAAACTTCAAAGTAATCGATTTAGTAGTTACGGCGTGAAAGCGGAACAAACAAACAAACTCACTTTCCAATTTATAATATTAGTAAGGATTTCTTTAAACCAGTGGCAAACTTCTAGAAGTTAGAAGCCAAAATGATCATGATGAGCTTTATCTCGGCGAGTTTTATCCGTTGTGGTTTTTAAGAAAATACTATAAAATGTTTATATCGATACTCTTTTATAATGTAACAAGATTACTCAATAAATGTATTACATTTTTAGCACCGATATGACCTTCTAAGTATCGTTATTGGTAACGCAACGATAAGTCAAAGATCGTAAATTTAAATTTGTCAAACGCCTGCATTGGATATTACGACTTTCTTTATATGGTACGGAAAATGTAATTGACATAAACATAAACAACCACAATATTTTACCAAATTATTATAGAACAAGCTGTTGCCCGCGAATTCGTTCGCGTAGAATATGAGTTTTAGGACAAAATTTATTTGAATTTTCTAAAACAAAAGTAGGCTATGTTACTCCTTAGTACGTCCGCTACCTGTCAGTAAAAAAAGTACCGTCAAAATCGGTCCAGACATTTCAGAGATTAGTTAGTACAAACAGACAGAATAAAAAAAATTAAGAAATGTTATCTTGGCATATGTATCGCATGTATATTCATATGCAATATGCATGTAGTAATAAGACGTAATTTAAATATTACAAGCAGATACGCCAATTTTATTTATCTATATAGATTTCTCGGTAGCAAATGTGTTGATGTGGTACGCGTCGTAGCACGCGTAGTCGTTTCGTAGTAGCGTCGTAGGCTTGCTACGGATTCGTAGAACACATTGGTGAATTACTTTAGAATTATTATTAGACGTAACTTAATACTGATTAATGTATACAATAATATTAAGTTCCGGACTTATGTATCAGCTTAGTTCTATGAAGGCTGTACAAACAACATTGAAATGTGTTACATTCGCTTAGGAACCAATTTATATAAAGTTACAAGGATACAAGCCTTAACGAGCGGGTAAATTACTTACTGCTCTGTAATAGAAATATGTTGCTTGTTACTTTGAACACCGTTTATAGCCTAAGAAACGTGGGGAGTTATAAACAAATTATTATAACTCACACAGAATTGAATTTTCTTGCCTTTATTGGCCCATCAGCTCAATTTTGTACTGTTGTACATTATCATATCTGTACGTAAATATGCATAAAGTTTGTATCATCTATTAAGCGGCTTGTATTGCTACATACAGGGGCTTTTTCGTAAGGTATTTTTATTTTTTTTCTTTACCTTTATGTAGACTTTCGAAGTTATGACCAATAGGTTCATTTTGGTAATTAGTTTGTACTTATAATCTAAATAGAACGTTTGGCAGTCTTATGGGCGAATAGATGTAAGAAAGAAAGAAAAATCCTTTATTCGACAGTAGGCACGCACACAGATACAAAAAAATACAAAATAAAAAAAGAAAAGAACAAATAAATACACTTATTTATATAGATATAGAAAAAAAACAAAAATAAACGACAGCGTATTAGAACACAGTGGCAATAGAATACTAACACAGTAATTAAAAATTAATGAAAACAAGATATAAATAAATAAATAACATTTAACGTCGCGTGCCCTTGCCAAAAGGGCCTCCATCTCAGCATTAAGTTGAGCGTACATGCCCAACGCTGATTTTCAGATGGCACCCTGCAGTGACTCACGGACGGCGGTAAGCCGCGGAAAGCAACAGTGATTTTTTTTAAATGGGACAAGCCCGCCACAACCTCCCAGAACCGCTGCAACTCCGAGCTGAGGATCTACAGTATAGCAACAGTGATGATGTATAAATTTATTTGAGCACTTTAAAAACCCTCGTCATTTCCCTGCGTGCCACCAGACCACTACAGATGGGTCCAATAGAGTTGATGCCGATACGGAGTCGCGGAGGAGTTAACGGGTTACCGGAGCTCTGGCTCGAAGTTCAGGAGTAGGAACAGGGTGGTTTAGTCTGACAGTCGCTCTCACCTCACCGGGGCGGAAGAAAACATTGGACGATTTTCCTCCTTCAAAAAAGAGACCCCACGTTTCCTTTGAAATTCCAACTCACAAGTTATTTTCTATAGATCACCTTGTTACTCTGCTTAAGTACACGTGAACGTCACACACCATGGATATTATAAGCACAATTTTAATTATGTATTCTCATGGGGGTTCAGTTTGACTCCTGGTTAATGAGCCCATCGACCAAGCCTACGTGATTGGGCGAGTTCAATTCAAGATTAACGACCCGTTTTCAAATAAAGAGGTATTGTCTATACTTGTCTTTCTATGTCAAATATTATGTATACTTGTTTACTGACATTTTGATGAATCTTATCATCATTAACAGTCACAACTATAATTCACTGGTAGACTGTATCGTAGTTCAATAGTTTTATCAGAAATCGCCTTTATCAAAAGGGGACTCGGGGCCGTGCCTATGGAGGCCATCCTCAGGGGAGTCCTTCGGGGCCCAAAGGACCTACAATTTATACGACAGACAAGCACCCGCTAGATGTTACGCGGTAACTGGCTGCCGTGCAACGTGTAGTCAGCTCGATTCCCGCACGAAATAAATCTTATTGTAATTCACAAATTATGGTTTCGGGTCTAGGTGTCATGTGTATGTGAACTTGTATGTATGTGAACGCACTCACGATACAGGTTAAAAAAACTAGTGTAGGATACGCACCTAATTGTGTGCCCACCAGCCTCAACGTAGTCTAAGACGGCCTAGGTTGTATGGTCTCTGTCTTTCTAGCCACTTAGTCGGGTCTTACGACGCCCATGCCATGGGACAAACAAGAGTACTGCCAAATTTATTCATTTCTGCCGTTAGCACAGTGACACAACAAATATTGTTCTCTTATTCGGTAGTTTTAAGAAGTTTAGTACTTCTCTAAAGACTAATAAGAGTTCATTTTTTGTATTATGAACGCTTCTCCAGTTTCCTGTGCTCATTTTATCTTATCCTTTTATGTCTACATCAACCATAATAACCATTTTGGTTTATGGGCTAGCTCATTGGAGCAAAGAATGTAAGTAGAAATTAAAAATTGAAACATGGTTTGAAAAAAAATATTATATGTACAATGGTACATGATGCTATTTGGGTCACATAGGGCAAAGGTCATACCTACTTTAAAAAAATGGACATTGACATCTATATTTGCTATTGTGGGTTGAAATTTCTAAAAGTTTTACTACAAATGACGACATGTCTATTGTGTTTAACTTTTTTATTTTTTTGTACATTCCGTAGGTAGGTTGTACCTGTACCTGTAATTAGGTAATGAGAAATGTGTGTTCAATTCCAACATTATATTTTGGTATAGCCACTGAGTTCTGAGTTCAATAGTCTAGCTAATATTTTAATAGGATTATGATCCCTATGTTCCTAAAATCGACAATTAAATGGCACCAGGTAATGGATGAAGTATATATATAATAATATCAGTAGTTACCAGAAAAATATTAATAATCTATGTCATATAGTTTTTAAATTACAATGACTTATTTGTCGATCCACGGTCGTCGACTTCAGGTACACTCTATATATGCCTTCTGATTTTATTCATGTATCGTAAATAAATATATTGGATATTATTTGTTACACTGACTGCCTCACTGGCCGAGTGGTCGCAATCGCGACTCGTCTCGGGTTCGATTCCCGGGTCGGGCAAAGTAATACTGGGTTTTTTTAAAAATTCTCAGTAGTAGCACGGAGTCTGGAACTGTGCACGGTATATGGCAATAGGCTCACCCCCATTACATGGGACTCATAACATAAATAGTGAAAAGTCGGTGTTACATTGTACAGTGGTATAATGTGCACCTCCGCCTACCCCTTCGAGGATAAAAGGCGTGATGTTATGTTATGTATTATTTGTTACAGAGTGCACTACAGCGGCGTGGTAGCGGCAATGGTCGGGGCAGAGTCCTGCGATGTTACTTCAACGCCGTCACCTGCTTCTAATATACCAAAGTTCACTATTAAATATTGTATATGAATAAACTATCGCAGCTATAGTGTAAAATAAGTATTATTGTACTGCATAACGAGGGATTACGACGCATATTCTATAAGTACCTACATATAACTCTTTAATTAATATTTAAAAGAGGTTTCTTTGTTGACAAGAGCTTTTTAAAATTTTATTTTCTTCTATCCTGTGATTCATTTGTGCCAAGTATTGGATAATATATTTGAGCCTTTATTCGTAAACTTAGAATTATGTGTTTGCCTTTTCTTTTTAACATTATGAAAATGATAAGGACAGATGCGTTTCCAAAATTCAAGTTTAATGAATGAGGTAAAAGTATTGTATTGTATAGAACCTTATTGATTCAGTCTACGAATTTATTCCCTGTAAATATCCAATAATAAAATTTTGTTGCAATACTTTGGTGGTTTATTTACCGTCTCATGATAATTTGAAGTAAGTTTTGTATAGATGCCCAGTCGCCCACGTTTGTTTACTATTACTACAAATGTTATTACACTTTCAACTTTATTAATAGTGACGGAAATAACTTTGTTCAACTTTAAGATGATGGTGAAACTTTATACAGCTTCAAACTAATTCATTCTTACATTTTAAGTCTTTGACTGTCAGTGGATAAGTGTTGAAGGCAAATCTTCCGCTAACTACGCTTTTGAAGAGTTAATTATACTATCTAAATCTTAGGACTTCAACAGTTATTTTTACGTTTTTGCTATATGATAATTCAGGGACGGACTTGGAGGGATCAGGCTTATTAAGCCCGCACAGCCAAATGCCATTTAGCTTGTCTACTTGTAGAGTAGAAAACCAAATTATATGGAATTGACGTAAATTTTTACACTTGTCAGTGTCATCCCCATACATTTAGTTTTCTACTCTTTCTGTAGACAAGCGCTAAAGTGGCGTTTGGTTAAAAACATGTATTGCTATCACTACTCCGACTATAGTCAATCTAGTCTAATCTTTCAATCTATACAGTTAACTAGACGTTATAGTCTACCTATCAGACACATCCTCGTGTCTGCTTCACCAAGACCTTGGTCTAAAAGCGATCGTCAACAAACTAAAAGCCGCAGCCCACGTGTTCTTTAAACACGTGAATATTCATCACACTCGTGTTTGGACTAAAACAAATATATCGCAAGTGCCTCAGGTTTCTCATATTATTAGATTGGCCATCCGTGAACCTTGTTTTGTTAGGCTTAACGAGTTGTTATTGAAACTCTTTTTGTTCCCACAAACAACTTTTAGTTTTAATGCTATGCTAATTAGGATTTTTGCGAAATTATGTTTTATTTATGTCGGTTTGAATTTGATTAGTAAGTTGATTTTAGCAAACACCAGGCACTGTTTAGAAGGGGGTCCGAAATCGATCTCGGAATGGATAAAATAGAAATAGGTTTAGAAATTTCTGATTACGCCTGAAATATAATCATAGACTCTTCCTATGCGAATCTTAAACCTAACAGGTTACCGGGGCTCCGGCTCGACATGCAAGAGAAGGAACGAGTGGTTTTTAGTCAGTAAGAGTCTGACACTCTCTCCCGCCTCACCTAGGCGGGAGCAGTGATTCGATGATTTTCCCCCCTTAAAAAAAAACTGTGCAATTATACAGAAAGCTCTGCTTATACCTTGAGCATGAGATATTACATTTTCTTTCCTCCAACCAATAAAATAAATAATTTGTGACGCAACACGCAAGCTTTTAGACTACAGATATTTGACGCAAAAAATTAAAACATCGTAAAAAAGTTACGACTACTCCTACACATCCCTTATTATATTAAAAACAATAAATGTAAGCGATAATTTACAACACAAGCTGTTATAATATGAACCTTTAATAACATTAGACTGTTACGTAAGCAGAGTGGCAGCATAGAACTGGATTTTTTTTATGGCGTAAGCCGGTAATCGAGCAGACGGAGCACCTGATGGTAAGCAATTGGCGTCGCCCATGGACACCTGGAACACCAGAGCCGTTATAAATGCGTTACCGGCTTTTTGGGGATTAGGAGTTTGAGGATCGTTGAGGATTTAGGGATTGGGGAGATTGGGGAAGGGGAGGGTAATTGGGCCTCCGGTAACCTCACTCACACGACGAAACAACGCAAACGTTGCTTCACGTCGGTTTTCTGTGAGGCCGTGGTATCACTCCGGTCGAGCCGGCTCATTCGTGCCGAAGCATGGCTCTCCCACACTTAAAATAATAAAATAAGGATAATCTAAATTGGACAAAAGAAAAATATTTAGTACCATCTGAGTGGACTCGATTGTCTCAAAGAATCGCAGGGGGGATTCTTCGCCATCTTTATGAGTTATAAGGGACCTTTATATTGAAAAACAGTACACTAATAAAGGAAAAACTTAGTAGTCAATGTAGTTGAGTTCCCAATGAATCTTTGTACAAAAATAAAGATTTGTCCTAGCTAAAAATGCTTCTTCATTTGTGCAAACCTTCATAGTGACACAACTAGAAATTCTTTCTTCTTTCAATTCAACTAGGATTCTCATGTAATACGTGCGTTTGTCTATCACTTCTGAGAAAATAGGAAAGGATGCTGCTATATATGAAAATTTGATTAGACGTGTCTGGAGTACAAAAACAATTGTGAAGGTCTAACAAGTAGGTACCAGGGTACCAGCAGCACCAAAGAGTCGGTCAAGTAGGTACCTATGTTGAATCCTTTGATATTGTCGGTCACTCGAGTGGACCTTAGGTAAGTAAAGTACATTGAATGACTAATTAGATTTTACGTATTTATGGAGGTGAGATGAGGGAGGGATTATTTATTGTTGACAGATCTTTTATAATAATAGGAACACTAGATTTATTATTTTTAAAGAATAATACTGCCGATCGGTTTAGTTTTTAACGTGTATTTATTTATTTTTTATTTATTTATGGATTGGAAAACAAACAGATAACATAATAACACCAGAAAGCCAATTACAGGTTTTCATATAATACAGATCACGTAGCAAATATCAAGAAAATTCGTAAAAAACTAAAATTATAAAAATAAGACTGCCTCATTGGCCATGTGGTCGCAAGTGCGACTGCCGGGCAAGGTGTCTCGGGTTCAATTCTCGGGTCGGGCAAAGTATTACTGGTATTTTAAAAATACTCAGTAGTAGCACGGAGTCTGGAATTGTGATTGTGCCCGGTATATGGCAATAGGCTCACCCCCTATTACATGGGACTCATAACATAAATAGTAGAAAGTGGGTGTTACATTTAATAGTGGCATTAAGTGCCGTAATGTGCACCTCTGCCTACCCCTTCGGGGATAAAAGGCGTGATGTTATGTATGTATGTATAAAAACAAATGATGCTTCATCAAATGAACTCCTGTTTTAAAATAAAATAAGCATTATAATCTGTAGATTATGAGATGTATCTCATTATCTAATATAGTCTAGTGCAAAAACTATTAAGAGCAGAATGGTCTAAGACAATCAAATCATAACCTACCAATTACTCTAATGGACAGAATCCTAGAACTTTCCACATTATATATATATCGTAGTATAACACAACATTAATTAAGTTATAAAATTCAACCACTTAAGTCATAAATCCTTTGCAACATTGATCATAAAATAAACTGAATGTTAAATGCATTAACTAGACCATTATGGTGTTATTATGGTTTTATCATGGAGTGCAGAGTGTACCTCTAGGTACGACATATCTATATAAGTTGTTGCTTTTAAGTGTGGGTAAGTCATGCTTTGGCTCGAATGCGCCGGCTCGACGACAGTAATACCACGGCCTCACAGAAAACCGATGTAAAACAACGCATGCTTTGTGTTTCACAGTGTGAGTGAGTCAATCCTTAAATTCCTAATCCCCAAAACGCTGGTAATGCACTATGGAATAAGCCGGTAAACGAGCAGATGGATTACTTGATGGTAAGCAATAGGCGCCGCGCATGGACACCCGAGATATCAGGAGCACTACAAGTGCGTTACCGGCCTTTTGGGGATTAGGAATTTGAGGATTGGTGGGGATTGCGGATAGTCCACCGGTAACCTCACTCACACGATGAAACAAAACGCAAGTGTTGTTTCACGACGGTTTTCTGACGTTATCTACCTTGTCATCATCTAATGGCTGAAATAAATCCTTACTAATATTATAAATCAGAAGTGAGTTTGTTTGTTTGTACCGCCTTCACGCCGTAACTACTAAACCGATTGCTTTGAATTTTTGCAGACATAAAGTTAGAAGTCCGGATTAAATAATAGGGTACTTTTTATCCCGGAAAAATTTGATATTCTCGAGGGAAAACAAAAGTATTGGTATAGATGGCGCTGTGTGTATTGGTATATGTCACATGGGTTACTTTTTATCCTTTTGTGACGCGAGCGAAGCCGCGGGTAAAAGCTAGTTAATATATAAAACTAACTGTTTTATGAATGAAAGGAAACAAACAAGAATTTGTCTATCAGAAATGTACGAAGTAAGTACATTCCTAGCAATAACTTTTGCTTCCGTAACTTGATTTATATATAGACATCTATCGATACAACCTGGAACTGGAAACTGGCTTGGCTTGAGGCGAAAGGGTTTACGTAACTAAAGTTGGAATTGAACAGTGACCAGACGCTTGCACTGAAGTAAAAGCTTCCCGCTAGATGGGGCTAGTAGTTTTAAAATTTTCAGCGTTTTTCATCTGCCCAAATCAAACCCTGGCAGTTTGGATGGTAAGTGGAGGGTTGTAGAACCCTTAAATACAATGAAAGTTGGCACTTAATTGTGATTCTCTGTACCTACAGACACAACAAAGGTCCTAAACATTAGGTAATTTATACTTTAAAAAAAAGTGAATATATTTAAATTCTTTGCCTGACCACGGAATCGAACTCGAAGCGCCTTTCGGCAGTTACATACGTAAACAATCGATCTTCTTATTGAAATTACTCATGGTCATAGGCATAAGTTACTCATGGCATAAGTTACTCATGG